CTCCAAACTGACATCCACGTTCAGGGAGTCTGGATCAGTCCCATCCTGGCCTCTCAGCCATCAGTCTGAAGTCCATGAGCTCCCCCTTGTTCAGGTCAGCTGTGGTGTGGGTTTCTCTAGCCTGGTCCTGATCCCTTTGCTCATCACTCCTCCCTCCCTGCAACTGGATTCCAGGAGTTCGGCTCAGTGTTTAGCTCGACCACATGAGTTTTAAGAGCTGGGCATTGGCCTGGTACAGGCCCATGTGAAGACAAAGGCCATAGGTAGTGTGTGAGCCTTGTTGTTTGATTTAGCATTTTCTTATGGTTCATCCTTTATTGAATAGTGTGATCTGCCAAGGGAGTCTCTGACAGCAGTTGCCAGAGGCAGAGAGTTTGACACAGATTTCCAGTTCTCCCCTCACATAGTACTGTAGACTGCTTGGGTGTTTGGAAGTTGGATGTGATCTGTAAGGAGCAGTAAGGAAGATGAGTCTAGTGGACAGATGTGTTGGGACAGAAGCCTGAAGGCCACGGCCCACAATGCACACACAAACCAGGCAAGTGAGTGCCAGTGAGCAGGACGCACAGGCGTGCCGTAGACCACAGCCTTGGCAAAGGACTGGCGGGGCTGGTGGTAGCAGCTTCATGGGTGGGCTGGGGGTGTGGTATGGCTGGAGAACAGTGGGGGGTGGGGATGAGGCTCCTTGGGAAAGCTGACATGATCATTGGACTTGGCAAGTAGTGGTGAAGGAAGTCTGGTGGGTTGGATTAGCTAGAACCTTCTTCGATGATGCAATGTGGAGACGTAGGAAGAGAGCTAGGCCTGAGGAGGAGGGTGAATGTGGAGACAGACAACCGTCTGGAGCCTGGAAGGCAGAGGCGTGGCAGGGAGGATGAAGCCCGGTGTGTTCTGTTCTCTGGGCCCTGGCATAGGGCCCCTGCCTGCTCTTCCCACACTTGTGTGCATGGAGCTATTCAGGACATCATAACCTACCCTGCAGGACTCTTAAAGTCTGGACAGGAAAAGCTAAACCAGGGGAAGAGGTGTGACAGCCTCATAGCTGTTCTGACCCAGCGTCTGGGTGAGCTGTGGAAGTCTCTTGAGTAGGTGTAAGACCGCACACCCACACTCCTCTGCTCTGTGTCCGTAGGCAGGACATGGAGCTCCTTTGTACTGTAGATGTCTCTTCGCAAGGCTGGAACCACAGCATCTTCTGTAAGCCATGTCAGATAGCTAGTGTCCTCTTCCTGTGAGAAAACCCTGAGACACCTCGCAACAGGGAGGCTTAAGAACAAATGTACCCATCGGTACAATATATAGGTTCTCAGAGAGGACCCTCAGCTGGCTTCACCCTACACTCCTGTGGAAGGGTGCCTACAGCGTCTGTGGAGACGTAGTGCCCTTTGCAGCCCCAGCCCCAGTCACATCCATGGGCAGCCCCGTCTTTAGGTCTATTAGGAATGCCAGGTCACCGTGAACTGTGGACTGGTTTCTGCAGTGTCAACCTGTTTTCCATAATGTTCACAGATTTGGCAAATTCAAACAGGACACAGAATCTGAGGTGATTACAGCATGTTATATGGTAGTGATCGCTCAAGATTAGGGGATCAGAAATCCCTAGCAGAGAAGTATGATAGAAATGTATTTTGTGCTTCTTAAAATACTTGTAAAACTTCTCAATGCAACCAAGAGTGATGACAGACACCACTGATCCCAGCACTCAGGAGGCAGAGGCAGATGGATCTCTGTGTGTTAAGCACTCAGGAGGCAGAGGCAGATGGATCTCTGTGTGTTAAGCACTCAGGAGGCAGAGGCAGATGGATCTCTGTGTGTTAAGCACTTAGGAGGCAGAGGCAGATGGATCTCTGTGTGTTAAGCACTCAGGAGGCAGAGGCAGATGGATCTCTGTGTGTTAAGGTCTGCTCTACATAGCACGTGCCAAGACAGCTAAGGCTTCAAAGTGTGACCCTGTCTCAAAAATTCATTTTATTATGGCTGCCATTTCATAAAACTGTGTCTTAAAACTGGAGATAGACTGTCTAAGAAATGAGGAAAAAGCCAAAAGTGAATCACTGGGTGGTTCCTAGGTCCCACCCTTAATGGGGTATGCTGCTCTGATGGGACCTCACAGACTGTCACAGGGTAGAGTAACCCTGCACCTGCAGACCTCTGCAAAAGAACAAGCAGCCAGTAGCCCTGTCCTGTTTCGTATGCCTGCTTCTGGGAGCAATGTTGTCGGTAGCGTTATGGCCAGCCAGCTCCAGGAAGACAAGGCACTCTCAATGACCGGAGAGCTCACCTCTGGGGGTGAGCATTAGGAATGCTTAGCGGCGAGGGCCGTGCAGCAGGTATAGGTATAACTAGGACTGTTGTGCTTCGTAACCCTGCGAGTTCTTGGCTGGCCGCATGTTGCCATTTGGGGAACTCTGTTGTAAATGCTCTGTCACCCAATGTGACCACGCACAGGCAAGTGTGTGCATATGCTTGTGTGTGCATACGTGTGAATGTGTGTGCAGCTGCCATGACTTACACATTCTCCAGTGCCTTACAAGCACCCAAGGAGGTTGCTTGCAAAACAATAATGTCTTTAGAATTCTGAGTGCCAGATAACTAGCACTCAGATAACTGGCCTTATTTTCATATTTACATATTAAACACCGAAATGGCAAACTGTAGAACTTACTTTGAGCCTGAGATCCCTTACTACCAAAACAGTGATGGTATCTACCTCAAAGGCCCATAGTGGGTCTTCAAGGCAATCCGTGGGAAGTATGTACCTGACATTTTTAAAACCCCACTGAGCTCCTACTATAGGAGACTGGATTTCAGCATAAACCAGGGTTTTGCCTTATTTCCTGCCCACTTAGAAGATGGTAGAATGTCTTCTTTTTTTCTACATTCAGGCTATAGTGTGAACAGTTGTGTCTGTACTGATTCACCTTTGCTATATACCAAATAGAACTTAACAACTAGAGCTAAGTTTTTGGTATTTTCATAGTTTTTGCTTAAGGATGAACATTAGCAGGTTGACTTGAGTTGCCACGGGCGAAAAGTTGGTTCTTTTGCAAGGGGTTCACATTTCATAGCAAGTAACGCATCATCCCGATCTTTACATTAAATAGCAATTAATGTGTGCAGTGGGAAGCGGATGACAAGGGGACCGCCCAACATGGCGTAAGTGTCCACTTTCTAATGGTGCAGTCTGGAGACCTTCAGTCCACCGAGTGCCAGCGGGTGCCGTGCCCCAGTGGCCGCCAGCGCACACGTAGCATGTGACTAAGCCGTGGGACTATGTTAGGACGGCGACTTCCCACCAGGTCATGTCAGCATTGTCTTCGGCAGCCCCACCGTCTCGGCGTCAGGTCACCCGCTGTCGTATTGTCCCACCTGCTGTAGTAGGCCCACCTTTAAAAGGCGCTGTGAACCCTCACCCATAAAACAGTCTGCGTTTCCTCCTGGTGGATATGAAGTTGGAAAGTTCATATAGAGGGCTCTGGTAAGGGTGACAAGTGGCGCTCCGTTCATCATGTGTACTGGTCTGAAGACCACCATTCATATCCCTATCTGTGCACATCGGTTTGTGAAAAATTATACTAATTTAGCTGTTATGTTATGGTGAGGGTGTGGGGTAGGACAGAGAACAGCTTGCAGGGGGCTGAATTCAGGACTCAGGTATCGAACACAAGTCCTCGGGCTTGGCAGCGGGTGTCTCCCCCCTCTGAGCCATTTTAACAGCCAACAAACAAATTTATGACCACTTTGATAACTGACTTTAACTCTGGAGATTTAGACCAAGAGAGAAAAAAATAGGTGAAAAACATGTGTCGCTTCCCAAAAGGGGATGTGGCAATATCTCCTTACCTACGCTTATACGTTAGTTATCTTCCTGACGGAGACTGGGCAGTGGTAGCTCAGTGGTAAAGTACTTGCTGTGAAGGCATGAGAATCTGGGTTGGGATCCGTAGCACCCGTGTAAAATCCAGGCAGGGCAACCAACACCTGTAGTCCCAGCAGCGATGGGATTCTCTGAGCTCTCTGGCTAGTCAGTGCAGTTGAATTGGCAAGCTAAAGATTCAGTGAAAAGCCTTATCTGTAATAATAATAATGCTAATAATAGAGCAGTTGAGGGAGATGTCAGACATTGATGTCTCCATATCCACACATGTAGTACCCACATATATAAAGTTTTTCACGGGGGAAAAGGGGAGGGTCTGTGGCCAAACAAATTTGAGAAACAATGGTTCAAGCGAAGTTCGATAAATATGTCTAGTTCCTGGAACTCTTCAGCCTATTTCCTGCCAAGTCTGTAGTTGATCCAACAAGTTTAATTTAGCCAGCTACATTGTGTACACAATTTTGACTGCCACTCTTAGAAAGAAACCGTGTGTGTGTGTGTGTGTGTGTGTGTGTGTGTGTGTGCGCGTGCGTGCGCGCGCGCACATACAAACATACAGACTCATGTACACAGCATACCAAGTCTCAGAAATAGGAACTCACCAGGAATTCCCTGAAAAGGAGAGTACAAGCAAGGAGAGTTGGTGCCGTTTATGAAGGCAACTGCTAAGAAATGCCTACAGAAATCCAGGAGCTCCTTTTGGAACAACAGTTTTTTCCCATCCAACGTGTTGATTGGAAACTTTTATTTTCTCTGGATACTTACAAAAAAAAACCAGTGAGGAGCATTTGGGGTGCAGTCTACGTGTGAGGAAACATCCTGCTCTTGTGGAGATACTGCCATGTGGCTGAAATTGTGAACTGCATGGCTGAGTGCTTCTGAGGTTCTACAATGTCTCAAGGTGCACATACGTCTATGCTGTTGAGGGCGGTGAACCTGAGTTGTGACCCTTGGGTTCAGACGTCCTGTTCTGAAGAGGGTCTCCTGTTGCCTGTATGAAGACCACCAGTAACCAGTTAGCAGCCAACTAGCGGTTTACGTAATAAAATACTAGCACTGTCTTCTAAACTCTTACTACGTGATGATGTTACAACCTGGCTTTCTTTTACCTTCTTTATTGCAGTTGCATATGGGGCTGACGGCTTTAGGGATTTTCATGCAATAATTCCCAAATCTTTTTCCCGTAAGTATACGCTTTGCTTCTAGAAAACAGTAGCATGTGTTCATTTCACGGTCAATTCCATCACACGAACACCACAACTTGCATGTTCTCTCATAAACACCTTCCTTTACGCTTGAGAAGATGAGATGAACCCAGTGGTTGCCACCCTGCTCATTGAACACCCACCATTGGGCACGCCATTGATACAGTAAAAAAATGAAGGGTGAGCGGCTGTTTGATTGGTTTGGGGTTTGTCCGTGAGACAGGGTCTCCCTATGAGCCCTGGCTGGCCTAGAATGCTCTGTGGCACCCAGGCTCACCTTAAGTTTGCAACGTCTTCCTGCCTCTGCTCCCTGGAGCTGGGCACACCCATGCGCGCCGTGGGCCCGCCACTGAGAGTCTGCTCAGCCAGGGTCGGGATTCAAGCTGCGATCAACAACGTTGTGGTCCATGCTTCCTGCCAGCATCAAACAAACCAGCATCTTTTCAGATAACTTATGCAATTTTGTGTCATGGGGGGGGAGGGCATTCTCCTTCTCTCGATCTGGAGTGCTAACCTCAGAACAGAGAAGAAAAGGCTCTCCAGGGCTCTCTTCCTGGTGGCTCGCTGCATGAGCATGCGCCCTGTTAGCAGGCAGGCTAGCCTGCTCTCCTCTGGGCTGTGAGACCACACACGCTAGACAGCCATTTCATGTTTTAGTGTATTGAGAGTTGAAAATGATAATTATATTTGGGCAACTGTAAAGAGTATTTTCAAGAATAGAGAAGACTTTTTTTTCTTAATTTGAGTGAAACTAATGGAAAATTGTTACAAACTGTTAATGCCCCTAGGTTTTCAGTCTTAAGATCTTGTATCATTAATTTTTTAGTGTTATCAAGCGGCACTGGAGACAGAGTGTGTGGACATCACTCTGAGGAGAGATTTGTGTGTGCACAGCGCTTCAGGCCAAACCCAAGCAAGTGCTCGACCACAGATCTCACCCTGAGACCAGCTTGTTGACGTTGTAATTACAACTATATTTTCAATATCAAAGTGTCAGTAACAGTAAGACCAGGTTCTTGACATCCTGCTAGCAGATATACTTTGGAAGTACAGGATTTGGCAGTATCCAGCTAAGTATGCTTAAGTTCAAGGACTGGATTGACATACCCTCCCAGAACATAAGAAGTTTATTGAGAAGCTTCTCCTACTCATTTTCCTTCAGTTCAGCTTGAAGACGAGAACTTCGGGTTGATTTCTCCGGTGTGGGCATGTGCGCACACATGAACATTTCTCATGTGGGGGCAGATGAGGATGAGCCAGGGCAGGAACTCACGACAGATGCTCATAATAGTAAGACAGCAAGCACATTCTAAGACATGTTGTCATTAGATCCAAGGACAGGGCACAGCCCAGTGTACCCGAATGTCCAAGCAGATGCCAGAGTTTGCCAGATGGGGAAAGTGCTGTGTGTACTGATGTCTGTGGGCGATGTTCTGAGACATAATGGATGTTTTTGTGTATTTCCTGTCTACATGCTTATAAAACTGAGTTCCTAGCAGTACATCTCTTTTTCTTTCCCTCGTCCCTCAGTATCCCTGACTTGTATGTGGGACATACTTGAGTCTTGAGGCTCATAGTCAAGTCTCCACCCAACCGCAACCAAACTGTTCTGGGCCAATATCGCCACCTTGTGGCCATACTGCAGAATTGACCCACAGGCTCCCAGGCACCTCCCTTCTTGAAGTTAAAATAACCTTTGGGTGCCTAGATATCTAACTTTTTATGTAACTTTCAGCTTTTCTCTGTATATCTTATCTCTGATTTCATCATACTTGAAGGCCTAAAACATAAAATAAGATTATTCCTAAAAAATATACTTGATCAGATAGAAACCCTATTAACTATATCTTAAGTTACAGAAATTATTCTAGCTAATGGTTAAAATTGTCTTCCGAGACAGGGTGTCATGTAGTTCCAGCTAGCCTCAAGCTCCTCATGTAGTGGAGGATGACCTGAGACTAACCCTTGCCTCTACACACCATGGGTATGCAGCACGGACATAAAAACACAGACCTGCAAATGCACAGGTGCCCCAAATCTTCACTTCATCACCACAGACAGACTGAAATATACATTGAGCTTTTTATCCCGTTATATTTTGCTGACTGTCTTTATCCCATTTTCCTTTTAAAATGTTGACCATTTCATTTACATGGTGAAGGGACAACTTCACAATTTTTTCCCAATAGAAAAATCACATTCTAAGTTCCAAAACACTGCATTAAAGTACCTATGAAGATGCATTCTGAGAAAGGAATGGCAGTGAAAACAACATAGCATCTAAAGCCAGAGCCTGCCAGAGCGCACTATACCTCTGCATTAAAAGTGTTCCGTCATTCACACGGGCACAGCACACTTGGATCTTCAGGACTGTTTGATTCTAAACTTTTTCTAGACTCGAGGGGCCTTGGCACACGTGGGGAGCACTCTCTTAGGACAGCAGGGTCACTGGGCTAGTGGTATACCTCTAAAATACATAATGATGAGGTTTTCATTTTTCCCCATTTTGAGTAGCAAAGCGCCTTTTCTCTGGGATGTGAAAATATCCATGTTACTATGAGCCACACTTGGGAAACACTCAAATCAGGCCTCGTCCCCTATCTACCAGTTGCTGGAAGAGCATGGGGCAGGCTGAACCAGAACCTCCCAAGGAAAACACTCACAGGACTCCAATCACGTTCTGTGTTTAATCAGCTCAATGCAGCACTTTAGCAAGGTCCTCGCTGTCCTATGTAGTGGAGTATGGATAGCTTACAGAATATTTACGAGTCTATTCCTTCTGTTGGGGGAGAGTGCAGCACTTCACTGGAGGAACACCACAGCTATGGTTCTTAACAGAGTCTCCCGTTTCTATGGACAACCTTTTTTGTCTGGACAGAAATCTTCCATATTCCTCTACTTAGCTAGCACCCACTTTCCATTTATCCCCAGAGATATGAGGGCCTTCCCCGTCTTCCCGTAGAAAACCCCTGCCCGGCGGGAGTCTTAGGCTTACAGTGTAACTGGTGCATCGCCAAAGCCTCTTCTCTCTGGCCACTCGGTTTTTCTTAGACATCGCAGAGCTTCCAACTCAAAATGTGGCTGAGATGCCCTCCTCACCACCACCAGGCTCCCAGAGCGAGAGCACTCAGCGGTTGCCATGGAGCTCCTGCACTTGTTGCGAGCCTCTGCCTGGTTTCCAGGCCTCGTGGTCCTTGGCCGTGCCCACAGGCATTGCAGACACTGTGTCTTCTTTCAGAGAAACACTAACTTTGTGATGCTAAAAAATTCTGATTACTGCTCATCCTTCCCATACTATGCAATGGATCCTCTCTCTCTTCCTCTCTCACACCCACACATACACTACACACAATTATATATATATGTTTTATATATAATTATATATATGTATTATATATAATTGAAAATACTACCACTCCGGTATAAATCAGATCAAGTAAGTTTGATATTCTTGCCATATGTCCTTAGCCATCCATCCATTTCTTCCCCATACATTTCTTCCCCAGATTGGATCTGGTGCCCACGCTGATCACATATGAACAACTCTCATGCTTTCTGAGCTGTCTGTCTCTCTCTTGGTTCTGTCACAGCTGGTGGCAGCGCCACCTTGTAAGATATGAATGCCAAAGCCCTGGTCACACCACTGGTGGGCCCTTGGTGGCTTTGAGGAAGAAGGCAGTGGCCTGTGAAGCCGTGTCTGTCTGTCACATGACTCTTCCCCTGCTTCCTCCCTGACCCTCCACTCGCCCCCCTTAGCAGCCTGCTGGAGTGGATCTCTTCCTGGAAGCCGGAAGGTCACTGCCCGTGCACCCTGCCACCCTGCCCTCCTCTGGGGAGCACCCACACAGGCTCTGGTGACATGCACCATGGAGTTCCCCAGAGGACTGAACAGGAGCTCTGCAGTTTTCATTCGGGCAGAAAACTGCTGATGACTGCCGTGTGCCCGTTACCTTAGGTGGAGCCCAGCTGAGTCAGGACTGTGCTAAGGGAATCATGCCAGCATGCGTTCTTCTGCAGGGTGGCTTTTGTCCAGCTGTGGGAACCTCTGGTTTATATGCTCCCCTGTCTCAGCCGTTGTGGCAGAAGACAACAGATCCATCCCAGTTGGCTTACCACAACCTGTGATTCGCTCCAGGGAGTCTTTAACTACCCTGTCTTGCTTTTTAAAAGAAAAAAGAAAAGGACGAGTAATTATAAAATAACCAGAGATTGAGACTTTTGTAGCTTTATCATGTTTCCAAGAGAGCAAGTTGGATGTAATCTGGGGTCTGTCGCTCTAACGTAAATTCCAGAGGCTAGCATATGAAGACTAGAAGTTCATTTAGCGTGTACTTGTGGAGGGTGGGAAGTCGCCTGTGGTGTCTGTAGCTGCTATGGGTCTTCTTGCTCCATCATAACTAGCCAGAGGCATTGTGTGGCTAGACGGGGCACTCATGCTGGCCCAGGCCTGTCTCCCTCGTCTTAGGGAACACTTCGTAGTCAGCTTTGCATTACTAAGTGAAATACCCAAGGCAAGGAGTTTATAGAGAAGTGTATATGAGTTCTCACTCTAACAAGGAGAGGGGGACTTTGGTGAGAGCAGCCAAGGACAAGGATGGAGAGTGTGTGTCAGAGCCCATCATACAAGCGCTGGGAAGCAGAGAATGGCTGGGAGGGTGGAGCCTCACAGTCCTTTCCGAGGGGCTGCTACCAGCCGCCTAAGGACCACCCAGTGGGTCCTGCCTCGGATCAGGTCCTCGCCCCCGGAACGAAGCCTTTAATGGGTGAGCCTTTGGGAAGTTTTACCGGAACCATAGCAAAGTGGGTACAGGCACTGGTGAGTTTGAATGTACCCCCAAAAGATACATGGGAATTCGATTCTTCATAGCTCAGCATCAGCTGCCGTGTGAGCAGCAACCTCTCCCTCCTGCCACACAGACAGGATCTGGTCTCTGAGGGAATGGAAGGACTGCCGATCTGCAAAGTCTCAGGTCAGAGTCTTGTGGGGAAAAGTGTCCTGAGCCCCCCACTGCAGAATTCCTCAGGGTTACGCACGGGCTGAGGTCAGCCTCAGATCAGAGTGCAGTCTCCCTCCCAGGACCGCGCACCCCATTATTGGCCAGTCAGTCCCTTCTGCAAAGAGCTCGTGGGATAATGGTGGCAGCAAGTGGGCGGGGGGGGGCTTTGCTGCATTTGCCTCCCAGCTCTGCCAGTTGCTAGCTGTGTGAGTGAACTGTACCTCGGCCACAGAAAAACACAGGGCATGCCCTTGTTGAGTTCTTCTGAGGTTACGTGGCAAGTGACATTAAACCACCAGAGGTCTGCACAAGGTAAGTGTCAAAGCACTGCTGGGGTCAGGCCGAGCCTTATGCTTGGAACTATGGTGTGTGGAGTAGGATGTCACTTTGCTGTGCCCAGTCACGGTCCCAGTTGTCTGTTACTGGCTGGCCAGGGCTGTGATCGCTCCTGCACTTACGAATGAGTAATCACGGCATAGAGAAGGTGTGTGACCTGTCCAAGCTCTATGCTCCACTAAAAAGGAGCCAGGCCTCCAGACAGCCAGTGTTCTCTTGGTGTCTGGACCTCCTGTCCCAGTCAGGAAGAAGGGGATCATCTAGCTGACTGTGAAGCAGATGGGCTGCTTCAACTGGATATTCTCCATTGTAAAGTGACTTTGGATCTCCCAAGAGGTCACTCAGACACATGGCTAAATTCACCCCAGGATCTGGGAACCAGCAGGGCTAGGGAATCCAAGAATACACGCTTGCGCTTGAGATGTGTTCTTGGATCATGTCCTGGCTGTTTCTCTGGGGATCAAACTTTGAGAATTCTTGACTGAAAATGCAGGGGCTGTAGGGATGGATCAGTGGTTACTGGTACTTGATGCTCTTGCAGAGAACTCAGATTTAGTTCCAAGCTTCCATATTTGATGGTTCACAATAGGCTGTTAGCTCTCGCTCCCGACCGCCCAACCCACAAGCCTGCACACGGTGCGCATACATATATGCAGGTGCTCCTGTATACACGCCAAATAAAAATAAAGAATTGTTTCTTAACTATGTCACATAATCACCACAAGGCTTATTTTATTCAAAAAAAGAAAACATACCTCCCTAAATCTTATGAGCCGATAAAAATATTGAGAGAAATTTTAACTTTTGATATCACTACAGTTTCTACTGGCCATTGCCCGTGGGATTCATCACTGTACTGTTAGTGTTTCAGGAGAATGTATATGCATTATGTTATATTTTCTTTTAAAAATGGGTGAATAATAAAACTATGTAACATATAAACAGAGTAGAGTCAAAAGTGGGTTTTATCTTTGTTAACCTACAATCTTTCTGTTTGAAAAACTCTTACCTGTTACATTCAGAGATTGTTCCAGCTGCTCCTTTAGCAGATGAGGGAGATGTAAAGAGGGGTGCCTTTACCCTAGGGCACAGGTGAGGCATGCTGCCATAAGATACAAAGGAAGGCAAACGCAAAGAAAATGGAACCTGGAAAAAGGAGTTGGGATCACAGCTCCAAGCAGCAAAGATCTGTTCCAAATGCATTGTGCATACTTGTACAAGGGGTGTTTTCAGGCCTGAAAACCACTTCTTATGAATTGTGCTGATAATCTCCAGTCCTAGGGAGACTGACTTTGTAACCAGGTGTTCTTGTGAGCACTTAAGAATCTGCCCCAGGTTCCCCGCCACCCCTGTGGTCCCACAAGCCCCCACTGCAGTATGATCTCTACAAATAGTCTCTTCCAGGCTTTACCTGTGTCCCTGTCCAGACGTGCTGCAGGTGCCATCCATGCTTCCTGGAGGCCTAGGGCCTGCAAAGCCAGGCTGCCTGCCCTGAGGTGCAGGCCCAGAACTGCTCGGAATGTCTATTTGATGATCTGTTGCTGCTGTGTCTTATTTTGCTATCTTGTGACTTATTTTTTTTTTTTTTTTTGCCCTGACACTGAGTGGCCTCCTGTGTTGTCTCTTTCAGCCAGTAATGTTAAAGTAGAGACTCAGAGTGATGAAGAGAATGGGCGTGCCTGTGAAATGAATGGGGAAGAATGTGCAGAGGATTTACGAATGCTTGATGCCTCGGGAGAGAAAATGAATGGCTCCCACAGGGACCAAGGCAGCTCGGCTCTGTCAGGAGTTGGAGGCATTCGACTTCCTAACGGAAAACTAAAGTGTGATATCTGTGGGATCATTTGCATCGGGCCCAATGTGCTCATGGTCCACAAGAGAAGCCATACTGGTAAGGCCCGGCGTAGTTTTCCCACAGTGGGTGTTGGAGGGGCAAACTGTACTGTTAAGTCTGGGATGCTGCTTAGTAGGAGGGCATCTGCCTCGCACATGCAGTCCCTAAGTTCAAAGTGCAACAGGAGGGTAGGAGGGGAATGTCATCTTGAAGCATGTTTCCTATTGGCTGGCAAGGCAACCGCGGTGCATAACTGACTCCCAGGGTGTACTGAGGCACATTCTCTTATTCTAGTATCTGAAAGGTCCTCTCAGCACATACCTAACCAACCCTATAAACAAAAGAGCAGCTTACCAGCATAATGTGTACCAGCTTCCTCACTGAAACATCTCAGCCACAATGTTGACTTTCGTGTATAACGCAAGTGTCCATCCTTCACCAGATGAGCTCAAAAGCTAGAGCTGCAGCACAACTGACTTCACCAACTTGCCACTGGGGAACTTAGACAAAATACTCATCTTGATCTTCTTGACACTCAGGGCTCTCTGTTCAGAGGCGTTAGTGAGTGGTGGCCTAGCCGCAAAACGTTTTTCAGAAAGGGTGCTGGTTGGCTTGAGATGGCTCACCCTGCAATCTGAGTCCCTGGTCAGCTCCTTTATTGCCACCAGTTTTCATCCCAGAGCCGCCAGGAACTGTCTGCCAAACTTCTCTTGTAGTGGAAGGCTTGCAGGAGGCCTGGGGAGAAGACAATAGTCTGTTCGAAGGTGAGCAAACGCGGACTATCCAGGGCTCAAGAGCTGTGCCCACCCCTGCCGCTGGCAGTGTAAGAAACCTGCCCAGCTTCAGTTGCCTGCGCTAACCCGTCCCACCTCTCTCTGTTTAGGAACAGCCAGCTACTTGTCCTCCGTCACTGTCATACCACCATAACTAAGGGCACTAAACAGGCTTCGTGTAAAACATTAATGGCCTTTGTTTTTGCATGGCATAAGGTTTCTTTAGAACTAAAGAGAAACATTGCTCTTCCTCTAGCTATAACCTCGTGGGGTCACCAACTCGCATAGCCACAGAAAGCCTATGTGTGAAACTTAGATGTCCTGGCTTCTTTGGGGCGTGGGAGGCTGACATCTGCTATTGCAGTATGCAGGAGGGAGGAGAAAGCCAAACGTAAACGAATGAGAGCGGGTTTTACACGACGTTTCAGAAACGCGAGGGAGATGGCTTGGAAATGGCAGCCTTGGCCTTTTCTTACGTGAGGCCCAACAAGTGTGTGTTATCCAAAAGCGAGCAAGCACTAGAACGTGCATGGGGCAGAGACACTGTCATCAGGAATGTAGGCATTCCCAAGACTGTGATTTTATATATGACTAGGAACAATTTCCAAAATGATATAGTCCATGTATATGTGGAAATGATATATGGGATGACTTTTTAGGTAGTTGTTCATCTTCAACAAAAGTTTGGCTTTAAAATTAGGCAAACTTGGCTTTTCTGAAGGGATCCCTTAGTCCAGATTACCCATTGAAACAGACCTGGAACATCCAGCCCTAAGAAAAGCAAAGGTGAGGGGAATCTTGCTCTCGCCTTCTGTGTTAAGGTAGACATTAACATGGCAGTAAACTGCTGTGACGGGCCCTCAGCCAGTCTAAGGCCTGTAGTAACGCATTCCTGAAGAGGAGGGACCTCAGGTGAATCACTTTCCCGCTAATTCATCGAAGGCCTGACTACGCAGTGAAAATTCCCTCAGGTAGATATTTGATAAGAGACCCGAGTTCTGGTATACTAAACTGCTAAAATATGACTCCCAAAATAATTATGTGTAATGAATAAACCTACCAGGCACAGCCCAGGAGGGTACCTGGTACTTGCTACATACTTTCCCCCAGCAAATAGGGACTAGGGACTTTGCCAAGCTCTTCAGTTATGGAACAGTAACTTCCAGAAAGAGGTGGGCACCACCCACTCTATCAGTCCTGCCTAGTCTTTCGCTTTAAAAACAGGAAGAGACTCTCTGTCAGAGTTTGCTCCTGGCTGACTCCACAGTATGTCTTCATGTATTGAGAATACACAAAGCCACGGGTAGAGGTAAAAGCCCTGGTTAGCCAAGTAGGTTTCAGTAACTAGACATAATGGATAGGTCTTATGACGGCCAGGTGGAAGGTGTCAGCAAACACCTGTGTTCTCCACGCCTACACTGACAGCAGGTAGTTAGAATACTTCCTCAGCGTGAGAGAAGCTGTGGGTCACTTGGAGTCTTGAGAAAATGCAGGTTCTAATTCAGACCCCAGGTGAGTCTGGAGAGCAGGCATTCCTAAGAAGTCCCCAGCAACACTGGTTGTGGACCCTGGAGCACAAGTCTCTGGGGACATGCTGTGGAGGGACAGACAATGGGCAAAGTCAGTGTGGCCTCTGGGTTACGTAGGATGTGATGCCCCAGTGAATAAGCTAGGATGTGCAGGAGAGCCTCTCCCCACCGCCCGTGATCCAGTCATCAAGGCTTCCCCGGCCCTTCCCCGGTAGGCAGATATCCCAGGGGCGTATCTGCTCCTCTCACAAAGTGAAGTCCCACTGCCGCCATTTCCTAAATGTTTTGTGGGCACCAGTGTGTCACTTCCCCTCGGGTGTTCAGTTAGCTTCCTAGTTGGTTAAGTGTCACAACCTCGATGTCCCCACCAGCATCTCAGCGTGAGTGTGAGACTTCCTGAGGTGGCAGGACAGACTGCAGGCGGTGGCCATCACCCATGACTTTGTCATTCTGAATAGTATAGACCGAACACTGGAAGGAACGAAAGTGTGGACTTGCTGTGGCCCCCGGCCTAACAGGTGCTGCCGTGGCATGGTGGCTGCAGACTGGCCCTCACAGACCTGCCCTCACAAGTTCTACCAGCTCAAAAACAAAAGAAGAGGAAGACACTTTTACCCAAGTGCATTATCCAAAAGGTCTCAGACATTGTGCAGAACACCTCTTCATGGAAAGTGTGGAGTGCCTGGGATGAAACTTAAATTTAGAGTTTTCAATATCTAATTCCTCATCCCAGTTAAATGTAAGCGGATACAGGCTTAGAGGAACTTGAAGTTAGGTACAGTATCAAGCTGTTATCCTTCAGGAAACAGTCCGTGGTCACTGGCAACAGAGAGGGACATGGGCTGTGTCTTACGATCCAGCTCTTTGGACACATCCCCTTATGTGTAACCCTCCATTGAGTGGAACACTGTGTGGCCCATTTGGGGAATGTGGTCTTCAAGACTCCCCACCATGGGCTGGACATTCCTACCCACACAAGTGATTGGTCAGCAGTGGATTTGAGTAAGCCTGCCTTACCTTGCTTTGGGGCAGGGATTAAGACACCAGGCAAGCAGTCCCCTCAGAATGCCCACCTTCCCTTCCTGTAGAAGGACAATGTGTCTCCTGAACACTTTTGGAACACGGGCGTTCCCTCTCCGACTGAGGGCCTGCCCTCTGAGTAACAGCTCCAGCATCAGGCGTGTTCCAGCTCCTCAGCAGGGTCTTCTCCATACATTGCCACTTTTCTTTTTTCCATTCATCCAATTGGAGTTGAACACTTTGTGGACAGAGTGTCAGCTGAGTGTGCACCTGGGACTCACAGACTTGGCCATAGTTAATGAGCTACTTGTTACCACTCTCCAGTCTCCTTGACTGTAAACGGCATCTTTACGATAAGCTGAGTCTAATCCAGACAGGAATCTTGGGAAAGGCAGATCAGTATCAAGACCATTGATTGGCCTACAGTTCATTAAATGTCTTTGTAAATTAGTTTTAACTTTTGTGTCTGCACTGTCCACTGAAAAAGACTTGAGCGGTAATTAGGAGACTCAAGAGTCAGTAGAGGCTTTAACGTCTAACCTGGCCTGGGTTTTAACAGCACCACCTGAGTTCCCCAGTTGGGGAAATATTAAGTATTTTTAACAAGTTGTTTATTCTTAAGGGAAATGTGCCTCGGGACATATACTTTCATACATGGTGGTCTTTTAAAGAAGCTTTTATGAGACTCATGACAGAACATCATCTTGAGAGTTAAACAGGCTGGGTTAGGGCTAAGACCTGTGACAGCCCAGCAGGACAGTCACACTCTGTAGTCACAAGTAGTCATTCCTGATGTCTCCAGACCCAGGGCGCAAGCTGCAGCTCTTGGCACTGCAGGGTCGCTAGGCCATCTCAGTCACAAACCAAGGAGCCGTCTTGGAAGACTCCTTCAATGATAGTGAAATCTGTACCTGAGGTACAACTTGTCCAGTGTGGACATGAAAACGAACATGAAGGACCTCCAAGTTGGAAGAAAGGCTAGGCAGGAGGTCTCAAGGCCACTCACTGTGCCCAAGCCAGGGATTCCCTCCGGAGGACAGGCCGTAACTTCTCCTTTTATTCAATCTTTTTCCAATCTCTCCCTCTCGCCCTCACACTTTCTCTGGCTGTCTCTCTCCTGATTTGCCTGCTTAGGGACAGACAGGTAATGGAGAAGAAATTGAAAGGGAAAATACAGGGAAAATGTAAATGAAAAGAAGTTATTATAACTGTTATAATGAAGTGCCTTTCATTTAAATATAAGAATGTAACGCTGAAATGAACTTGTGATCCTGAAATGCATTTTTAATGAGTTTCCTTTTTATTTTGCTGCTTCAGTGGCATATTTTAAAGACCCTTTGAAAAAAGCCACATTAAAAACCCCACCAAATGCCACAACACGCAAAATTGGATATTGGTTTATTCCAAAACTGCTGATCAGGAAGAGTGACTCTTCATCACAAAATGTTGCAGTCACTTTATTTAAATGAGTTTGAATTTGCATTGTGATGTGCCATTCTGATTTAGGGGGAAAAAATTAGATTTTCAGATCAAATTGACCCAGCCAGTGAAGCGTTAAGTAGCTGGCAGGTCTAGTCTAAAAGCCTCGCGTTCTATCAAACCTGCAGCGGTGGAAATCACCAAGCCCATGGGAAGCAACTTTCCTGCGGCCCGGCGGTCCCCGAGCGGCCCTGGCTCTGTTCTCACCAGGCCACCCTCTTCCCTTCTCGCCCAGGTGAGCGGCCTTTCCAGTGCAACCAGTGCGGGGCCTCCTTCACCCAGAAGGGCAACCTGCTGCGCCACATCAAGCTGCACTCGGGCGAGAAGCCGTTCAAGTGCCACCTCTGCAACTATGCCTGCCGCCGCAGGGACGCCCTCACCGGCCACCTGAGGACGCACTCCGGTAGGTCTCCCGGGCGTGGCAGGGATGCCCGGCCTTGGCCATCCCAGTAAAGGGGCCCTAGATCGTGTGCTCCATGTTCCCAGTACTGCCCTCCCAGTCTACCCAGTCCTCCGCCCTCTCGGGGTGTGGGCCTCCTACATGGTGGCCTGCTTTCCCTGCTGAACCAGGGGAAATGGGTGGGGGGGATGAACACAAAAGGAAGCCCCCCCCCCTCGGTGTGTTTCAGAAGAGCCTTCTCCCTCTCCCCATCTCGGGTAAGTGGGATTTTTCTAAGTGCACTGCTCTTACCTTTCCAAACACATCTCTTCAGGCTCATTGTTACGCCACACGTATCGCTGGCTTGTGTAGAATATATTGAATAGCAGTAATAGACGTAATTTTCCTTGCAGAGAGGACACAGGTTGGGTCAGAGTACACCAGCCCAGGGCACACTGTCCCAGCCAGAGAGTAGCAACCATGCCAGAAACCAGCGGAGGCTTTGACGGGGCTGGCAGTCTGGAGCTGTCAGAAAACTACAGACAGCAACATTTCCCTGTCAAAATGTCCCAGATACCCGGAAATCTCAGCACACAATCTACATGAATGCTGGACAGTTGTCCAAAAGTTCTCAACCTGTCACACAGACTCATCTTTAATTAGATCTCATCTTCTGCTACCCAGCAGCCTCACAGGCCTCCAGGTCTGAGAGAAAGGGATTTTGTTTGCCTGAAATATGGTCAACATGATGTAAGGTACACAGGTTGCCCCCACTCTGCCCTGTTGTATGGTGTCATGGGCTACACTGGTGTTAGGAGCAGTAGGCTGATGGGCCTTGGGCCTGCCCTCAAAGAGTGACCTGTCTTAGCAAGCCATCGCTCTGTCATTGCTCGGTGGCTTCTCTGAGCAGCAGCTGCACCCTTGACACGGTGGCTGTCAGGATGGAGGGCCTCAGGCCACCTTCTTCCCACTGCTAACCTCTTCCCAAACAGGAAAGATGCTTTCATGGCGCAAGGTACCCATCTCTTTGCCCGAATTGCCTAAGGCCATCCACAGCATCCTGTGCGTGTATGGCATGGTAGAGCTCTGAGGGTCCCTTTGGAGCAGAAAGAAAAGACAGTCTGTCCCGGTAGGAGGATCAGGAGGGAGAGATTCCCACAGCAGAAGGGCTAGATGATGTGTTCGGCCCAAACTGAGTTTGCTTTCAGGGAGCTCTAAACAGGTCAGGGTGGAATATTACTCTGGGGCACATTTTAGCAGGTATTGCCCAGAGCTGGTTTTTCTAGTCAGTGGTCCCCTCCAGATGGGCATTCACAAGACAGCTGACAAGAAGAGAAGGAGCTAAGGCCAAGCATCACCTCCCCTCTGGTCTGCTCTCCTCCCTGACTGACATGGAACATTCAGGAGACTCCCAAAAGCTTAGAGCAGAAAGATGTGATTATGGTGAGTCTCTTGACACTGTTGAGAAAGGTGCTGCCCTCCATTGAGGAACTGCTCTCTCAGAAGGCAAGGCAGGGGACAAACACTTTGCTATCCTAGGTTGGACACCAGCTCAGATCTGGGCCGGGTTTTCTGCAAGGAATAAGAAGAACTGGAGGCTCTCTGAGGTGGGGGTAGCACTGTCCACATGCATTAGTGGTGAGTGTGTGCCCTTCACCGAGTGAGGGTGGTGCCAGGGAGGGAGTGGCGTGCGGACCTGTGTGTAGAATCATACAGTTCATGCATGCTAGCAGGTGACAAAGAGAAAGCAGCTGCTCATATGCCATTTGTGCCAAGTCACCTAAGCACCATTGACAGGCACCATGCACTAGGGTTGGCAGCTAGCACAGCTTCCCAAGCCAGCAGAAAATTCAAAGACCTGCTTTTAGGCTGACACCAACCACAGCATTTTCACCCTTTAATTCCTGGTTTGCACTATAAATCTTTCCTGCATATCCATCCCTTAACTGTAAGATTGCAAGATGAGATCTTGTGAAATGGATGCTTGCTCATTGCATTTGAGGCAATGATGGAACCCTCCTCTCAGTGTGGCTAATGACTTGAGTAGTTACATAAAACAGGTGGTGGACTCCTGACAGGTTATTTCTGTCGCAAGATCACCAATGAGCTAATAAAGACATCCATCATAGACCTGGGATGTTGATGACTCTGTCGTCTGAAAAATGCCCTTGATGCACACAGCTCTGGGAAAAAACAAACACTGTGTTTGCTTCTTCAAAGTGATTTTACTGGAATTACAAGACTTCAGCCTTTGTCTGCAAAGGCTAGCAAAAGGTAGCACGTTTTCTTCCTGTGAGAATAGCCAGGCCCATATTCCAGTAAAGGTGGGATCATCCATAGAGCTTTCCCTAGCATCTGGTGGTAGTCTGAGGTTCTGGACTTTAGTATAGTAAAGGAATGTATGCTGATATTGGGGTTAGTACTTCTTTGGAAACTCCAAGCTTCATTAGAGACAGTTTGGTTCTTGTGTTCTAGCTTTAAAGTCAACCATACACTGAGGAAAACCCAGACACCATACCATTTACACAGGGGGCAATTTGATTCACTAAATCATTGAAGTTATAAAGTCTTCAGGAAGGGACATAGTATAGGTGTTTGTATTAATTTCCATGGCAATAGAATATAAATGTGTAATTTCAGGCAAAATTCACTCCACCCTTCATCTCTGTTTCCTAGTGTTTGGGGTGCATCACTACCTCTAGACACAAACTCTGTCAGGGTGGAAGAGATGGCTCCGCAGTTAGGAGCACTGGATGCTCTTCCTGAGGAACCAGGTTTGAGTTCCAACACCAACCTGGCAATTCATAGTCATCTGTGACCCCAGTTCCAGGGGACCTAACCCCCTTTTATGGCCGTCGAAGGCAGGCACCAGCCATGCAAGTGGTGCACAGACTTACATGCAGGCAAAACACCTGTACACCTAAAATAAAGCAAAAGTCTATTTTGAATTCATAGATGAAGCTTTAGTTTCCGTGAGAATGTCTTCAGAGCATCTGGTCACTAGGGAAGAGAGCTAAGTAATATCCCTCATGAAGTGATTGGAGAATATTTTCTCTAAGCACTGCTTTTACTGAAGTCTTTAAACATGGGTCTAATGTGGGCCCCTTGCTCATCTTCTCCTAAAACACCACTCAAAAGCACCAGGGAAGGCTGAACTAATATAGAACAATATTGCACCAAATAGAAGCCACTAGCCATGTGTGGCATGTAAGTTGAAATGTGAGTCCTCTGTGGCACTGGCTAAACTTGGGATGTCCAATAGTTCCATGAAGCTGGCGGCTGCCATATTGAACAACACGGTGAGTGCTCGCTGAGGAGCCATGCAAAGAACACGTGGAGCATTTCAGTGAGTGCCAGTGGACAGGGCTGATCTGGAAGTCCCATCGTCCTAGTGTCCATGGGGATAAACAGAGGCTCTCCTATGCAAGACACATCGTATGTTCCCCATGTTTATGAAAATGCAGTCCAGGTATCCATATCACTTTTCATTTTGTATTCATATTGTATATTCTTAAGCAAGATGGAATGTTACTACAAGTGTAAAGTACATTTGTATTATATTGAAAATATTCATTTCATTAAAGCCTTTTACTGCCGTGGTTTCTTAGAGATGCCGAGTGATGTCACTTGGCCTCCTCAACTTTATGACCGCGTTAGATGTTCTCCAGTGAGGGGTCAGAGCAGGCAGGAGGCCCCCCTGAAGGTGCTGTCTAGTCTCCCCATGTTTGTATCCACACTGTGGCACTGTGATGGTTTTACTTTTTTCCCATTAAAGGACACACCCCAGTGGTTTAGAAAGGAGTTTTGTAGACAGTGTGATAGGTTAAGATAAAACAAGAGTCATGAATTCTTGGTGCAATCAATGAGTCACCTAGGCATTAACATTTTTAAAATCCATTCATTTTGACCCAGTCCATAATAGTCATAGCTCTCAGAGAGTACATTTTTGTTTTTTACTTTTTTTGTTATAACTGTATTGCATGCATTCCAGTTACCCAGAAGGCCAATATTTAATTGGAGTCTTAAACTCAATTGTGTTTTCTGCAGTTGGTAAGCCTCACAAATGTGGATATTGTGGCCGAAGCTATAAACAGCGAAGCTCTTTAGAGGAACATAAAGAGCGATGCCACAACTACTTGGAAAGCATGGGCCTTCCAGGCACGATGTACCCAGGTAAGCGCTGAGGCTCCATGCTGAGTACCTGGGTCAGGAGGGGGCTCCGTGGCATGTTTCTGGCCATGCTGTCCGAGGGGAACTTTTTGTCCAGTAGTACCGCAGCTACACCAGGGACGGCCCACGTGCTCCTCTACTTTCCAGGTTCTCAAGTGACCAGGTGTAGCCTGTCTTAAGACCTCCCTGACCAGTAGTGACCCTAGTAAGGTTCTGTGTTGTGGAGTATTTTTGGTTTTGTTTTTTTTTTGGGGGGGAGGCGATTTTTAAACCAAGAGGAATTGGCTGGAACATTAGATAAGCAATAAAAAGCTTGCGTGGTATGCAGGAAACCCTGGATTTTATCTCCAGCACCACACACACATACACACACAAATAAAAACAAGCTAGAGTAATGTAGTGATTGCTTCTTTGTATTTAAAAGTCCAAATAAGATGGGAGTCTTGGGATGGAGAGTGGAGAGATGGCTCAGTGATTAAGAGCACTGGCTGCTCTTCCAAAGGTCCTGAGTTCAATTCCTGACAACCCCATGGTGGCTCACATCAATCTACAGTGGGATCTGATGCCCTCTTCTGGCATAAAGGTATACATGCAGATAGAGTGCTCATATAAATAAAATAAATATGTCTTTTTTTTTTTTAAGATGTGAGTCTTTTTATAAGACTTCATTAAGGTCATCAAAGGAGAAGTGTTGGGCGGGGCTTAGTCTGGGCTTTGAGTATCCTCACCTGGGAAGACGAGGGCATAGCTTGTTGGAAGATTCGGCAGTCGTCGGTACTGAGGCTGTGGGAAGAATGCTCAGATGTATACTACACTCCACCTTGTTGTGAGAATCAGTTTCACCCTGAACTTCTCGTGTGTCCTGGCTGCTGGCCAGGTGGTTCGGAACACTGCAGTGGTGGCTTCATGCTCCAGTTCTTTCTCAAGAAGTGAGATGTGGCTCTGGCAGGAAGCAGCAGTCAGACAGCACAGCCACAGAGGCAGGCACACTGGGTTCTTCCTGCCTCTGCCTCATCCACACTGAGATCCACACGACTGTCGTAGACCCCCACGCCAGGGGCGCCCAGCTTCCCATCACTGTAGTGGGTGGGTGGCTGAGACAACCAGTTACAAAAGGAAGACAGTTCTCCCTGGAATTTTGAAGATTTCAGCCCATGGTTGGTAGTCTACATTGCTTTGGGCATGCTATGCTGGAAGCAAGCATGGGAAATCCCCTGCTGGAGGCAGAGGAACTCCTCACAAGCCAGGGAGAAGGGGGGGGGCTAGGCAGTCATATCCCACTGACATAAGGACCGCCCCCAAGACTGCACCCTCAAGGGTTCCAGCACCTCCTACTTGGATCACCCTAGAGCTCTGGGACACCAAGATGTGGGCCTTTGAGGGCCACTCAGTTGCAAACTAGAGCTGCCAAGGCCATGTTTATTTCACCCCTCCAACACCTAGCTTGTAGACACACAGTGAGTGCTGGGCTAAGAAACTTGGCATTGGTAGGCTCTAGAAATGAACTTTGGTGTAAGTCTTGCCAGTAAGCCTGTACATCATGTTCATCTCCCTCTCCTTTCCCTCCATGCCCCTTGGGTCACCACATCAACTCCCCAAACCTAGTGATGTTGACATTGAGCCCATTACGTAAAAACTGCCTGGCTCAAGAGATGCAAGGAAAAAGTTTCTTTCTCTGGCTGGGGTCACTTGTTACACTTTGCTAATGTCTTCATGGGGAAAAAAGAACTTTCTCCTGGGCCCCACATGTACAGAAGACAGAGAAAAAGGGTTGGGCTCAGAGGTGTGTTGTGGTCTCACCTGGGCCGGTGGCTGAGCCTAGTTCACAGAGAAGGAAAGCCATGTGAATGAGCATATTAGCTTGATAGAGTATACGTAGGGATGACTTCCAGAATTAGGCTTTATGACTTCCTTATTTCCTCCAGATAATCAGAGTGTGGGCTGGATGTTGAGCTATTTAACAAGACACACTTATAACCGACTGTTAAAAGAACATGCAGCAGTAGTAGTCAACTGGAAACACAGGGTTTAAAGTAACATTCAGCAGTGAAGATAAATAATACATAGGGGTCCTGTTGGCATGCAGAGTAGAGTAAGGGGCAGAAAGCTATCATGTCATCCTGGGCAAGGAAGAAATGTAGAAGATCAAAGAGGGAAACAAGGTTGGTCCATCTATGAACACCCACCCTCTCATGTTTTTCACACAAAATTTCTGTGCAGATTTTTGACATTTCATAGTCATTTATTACAAAACTCTATCTGAAAAAAATAAATGAGAATATTGGCAAGACAAGAGTTGCATGAAGAAGTAGCCAGGGCTCAAGGAACATGGAGATAAGCCAGCATAGAACTGGATAAACCTCTGGTAAATCAACATAATCTGCCTGAGAAGGAAAACACACAAGACAGAAACAGTGTTGGAGGAGCTGATTAAAAAGCAGAAGCTAAGCCGGGAGTTGGTGGCGCACGCCTTTGCCAGCACTTGGGAGGCAGAGGCAGTCGGATCTCTGTGATGTTGAGGCTAGCCTGGTCTTCAAAGCTACACAGAGAAAAACCCTGTCTCAAAACAAACAAAAAAAGTGGAAGCTGATCACTGTACGTTTTCAGGCCCTTAAACAGTAGGGTGTGCTTCAGGGGAATGAAGGAATTATATTTCAGAAATCCCTGCCATGCAAACTAGAAGTCAGCTAGATGAGATCATGCAGGAGACAGGCTTGGGTCTTTACTTATGGATAGGGAGAGCTGGTAAAAGAAAAGGAGATGGGGGCTGGAGAGATGGCTCAGAGGTTAAGAACCCTGGCTGATGGGTGCAGAGGTGCAGAGTTCAATTCCCAGCCACGACATGGTGGCTCACAACCATCTATAATGAGATCTGGTGCCTTCTCCTGGCATACATGTAGGCAGAACACTGTATAAATAATAAATAAATAAATAAATCTTTAAAAAGAAAAAGGGAAAGAAAAGGAGATGGACTGGAGTAGCCCGTATTTCAGCATTTCCCTTCGTGACTGCTAGGCTTCCCAGCCTGTGCTGCTGCATGGTGGTTAGGAATTTGCTGTGTGGTTGAGGACTGTCACCTATAAAGCTGTGGCTTCAGACCCTTTGGTCATTTCTGGACCTGATGTTGTTTGGTTCGCATGGTTGTCGCTAGAGTTGGTTAAGGTAACCTTGAGACAGGACTCTCCAAAGTGACAGTTAATTCTCTGTGGTCCAGCCTTGGATGGTGGATGCGCAGCTTGTCGTGAGGCTGGGCAGATGGAGTAAGAGCGTTAGGAAGGGGTGTTAGCAGGTGGCTAGTCGCTGGTTCTGCTGGGGGCTGGCAGATGAGAACGAGGCTCTTGGTGACACTTGATGAATGTGAGGTTGACACTGGATGCAGCAGCCTCTTGAAATGCAAGCATGTCTAAACTAGCCTCTCTAACTGTCTTTGGCTTTAGTCATTAAGGAAGAAACTAACCACAGTGAGATGGCAGAAGACCTGTGCAAGATAGGAGCAGAGAGGTCCCTTGTTCTGGACAGACTGGCAAGCAACGTCGCCAAACGTAAGAGCTCTATGCCTCAGAAATTTCTTGGTAAGAGTTAAATATTTGCTGTCTCTTAACATACAACTATGTGGGTGTTCTAGACTCAAATGAAAATTATTTGAAAGTAAAGGAAAAGAAAAATCTCACTTTTTGAAAAGAAAGTGATAAGATTAATAGTTCTTAAATATTGAAGTTTTTTCTAATTTTTTTTTTCAAATTGACAACCCTTTCACCAGGAGTTAGATAGGATTTCATAGCATCTGGAGCCCTGGGTGTGAGGTTTCTGTGACCACTCTGATGACAATTAGGTCAATCCTCTCAGAGCTTCAATTCACATTTTCCCAGGAAGCCTGTGTAACACTTCCATCAGGCCGGGCATCGGTGGCGCACGCCTTTAATTCCAGCACTCAGGAGGCAGAGGCAGGTGGATCTCTGTGAGTTTGAGGCATTCCTGGTCTACAGAGTGAGTTCCAGGACAGCCTCCAAAACAATAGAGAAATCCTGTCTCAAAAAAAAAAAAACAAAAAAACAAAAAAACACTCCCATCAGAGGACAGAGGGGGCTGATAGGAACTGACAGAAAATGGCCCCTCAGAAGTTCCAGTGATGGCTTGTTGCAGCTAGAATTACTATCATGGCCACTGACCCGTCCTTGGTACTGTAAGGGATAATACAGAGTGAGCCCTTGCTTGTTGAGCCGCTGCTGCCTGCTGTCAGTTATAGACAAGGGCTTCATGCCTGCCAGCAAGGGCAGACACTGCAGAGACAGGGAAGGAGTTGAAGCAGGTACCTTAATGGAAATCACTAGCCTCAGAGACAGGCCTGACGTCAGAACAAAGACACTTATTAACTTTGTGACCTTGGGGTGATAAATCGACCTTCCCAAGCCTGGGTTCCATTCTTTATTCTCATAGGCTAATTGTGAGCATAAAATGCCCCTACAGACATGAAAACTTCTAGAAGCCCCCAGTGTGGAGGTCAGCTATTATCTTGGTCAAAACAGGAAATCTATGTCCAGGAAAGAAAAAAAAAGTGTTCATGAAGCTGAAGCTGAGACGGACTTAAGAAAGGGGCAAGACGTCAGCACTGAAGGAGTAATGGGGTCTAGGCAGGTGAGGAGACATGGCTGTGCTGCTGTAAGCGCGTTCGGAACAGGACCAGTGGGATATGATGGAGGGGCAGCTATGTTCCCAATGGGAGAAGTTGCCCCAGGAAGCTCTGACTGTAACACTGATGGCCTTTAGGTGTCAACGTGAGCAACGTAGTCTCATTCAGAATAATGGAAGCAGGGGTATGTTCTCAGTGGGAGCAGCAACTCTGATTGTAGATACAGCATGGGCCCAGATTAACTTAAGAAGGGGCAATGGAGGAGGATGCTTCGGCCAAGAAGGGATGGAGGTCAGGGTGGGGTTGGTGAAGGAAATCGTGGGTTTCCTTGCTTAGTGTGCCATTTGAAGAAAAGATGAAATCAAGTCTGGAAAATGAGAGTTCAAGGTTTGATGTAATTATTTTCAAGAATGCTACCCTGATAAGGATATCCCATGGAAACTATGCTAGGCAGAGGATGGACCTTAAAAAATGGTCTCTCACACACACACTCACACACACAGAGACACACATACACAGACACACACACACTCACACACACAAACACACACTCACACACAGACACACATACACAGACACTCACACACACAGACACAGACACACACTCACACACACACACACACACACACACCCCTTCCCACCAGGGCACCTACATCGAACCAGAAAGACATAGGTCGGGCTATTCCTCTTACAAATACAAATAGGGCTCCAGTTTTATCTATCGTTTCTCATGGGAAGAAAGGGAAGAAAGACCATTAGAAGACAAAACAGAAACTACTTGTTGGAAATATTATTCATGGGCTTGTCTGTGTAAATGTGAGCTTCTGAACTGAGAGGAGGAAGGGAACTTCATTTCCCGATCAGAGAAGGAGGGAATCTTGGGCAAGGAGTTATCTGCAGGATGGCTGAGACTTTAGACGGTACCAGGTGCAGGTCCCTGTTTCCCCCTGCGAGTGCACTGAGAACCCGAATCGTGGAGAGAGTTTGATGGGCTGCCCAGGGAGGCTGGCAGAGATGAAGCAGCCAGTGTGGTCAAGGGTTGTGAAGAGCTACTGACCTCAGGAGGCAGGGTGTGACTTCCTCTTTTTGATTAGGAACCTGAAGAATGTCCCCTGCTTTAGCAATGGCCATGCGCAGTGCCCTGAGGCTGTGGGAGACCTCAAGGCAAATGGAGCATCTGAAATTTTACCATGCTGTCCTGTGTGAATGAGCATCGTCTTGACTCACACGCTGCAGGGTGAGAGGGGTCAACAAAACTAGCGAGGCAGGGCTGAGATGAGAAAGCCCTCCCTCTGCAGGGGAAAGGCTGAGCACAGGAGGAAGTGGCCTTGTGGGAACACAAGGACCAGGGTAGCAGAAGTGCAGTGTACTAGGAGAGCCCCAGCAGCTGTGTCTGCTGGTGCTCCCCAGGGGGGATTGGCAGTTCATGCCCTAACCAGTGCCCCTTCCTGCCCTCACGTGCCGGCCTCCCTCTGGCTGCTATGCGATGGCTTCCTACTGCCTCACAGTTCTCCATCTATAACGTACAAAGAGGCAGCCCTCAAAGGGTGCTCTCCACATCAGTTTGCAGTTCTCCATCTCTAAAGTACAAAGAGGCAGCCATCAAAGGGTGCTCTCCACATCAGGGTAGTATATTATTGTTACTAAAATGACAGATAGCTAATAAGAATTTTGATAGAAATATTTGATGTTTTTCAGTGCATCAAATTCAACATCCAGACATTACCACTACCAAACATCACTGTAAATATCTCCCTGCCATATATGTTTCAGCAGATAGGGTTACTCGTAGGTGGATTACAGTATACAGAAGTGAAGTAAATGACTTTTAAAGTTTCCAAAGATGTCTGGCTCCATAGCTCAGGGGTTAGAGCACTGGTCTTGTAAAGTTTCCAAAGATGCCGCCTCAGAAAGATTCCAACTGCTTTTCCTAGGGGTGGATGTGCTTAACCTCTCCCTGTGCACTGCTAGAAAACACATTGAAGTGACCATGGCATATTAAATATGTCTTAAACTTTAAGGGGTTCCCAACCCTCAAATAAGTATGCACTCCCAGAGGGGATTCTACTTTTTAAAAGGAATTGCTCCCAGAAGAAAAGTATTTATTTTAAAAGACGTTAAGACCTATGAACCATTTTTATTTCTTTTGCTTTGGCATTGCACATCTCTAGAATATTCACATTCTATTCAGCAATCATTACTCTTATATCATTTAGATATTCACCACTATGTATTTAACAGGTCAGGTTGAAGAGTCAGACCCAGTCTTAGTATCATTTCTGTTTATTTTGATTAATTCCTTCACTGAGTAGACTTTACGTTCAAGCACCCTTTTGTAGACATCCCATCGACACTGCTTTGGGTCTGAAGATATCCGCCTGTCACCTTGGTACCTGGGGGGCATTCTCAGGAGGATGTGGCCATGGGCCAGTCTTCCTTCTCAAAGACTGGTAGATCATACCCCATTGCCTACAGCACTGCTTGTTGGATGGTGCTGGGATTCTAAGTCCAGCCTGACTTTCTTTTCTTTTAATATGATTTTACTTTTCTCCATATAAAGTGTTTTCTTCCTTGAACCCAAAAGTCAAATGCCCTCAGTAAGAAACGCCCTAGTGTTTTACAGGCTGGAGGTTCTTTTCTTTTTCTCCCTTGTCTTTTGGAAACATTCCTTTGCATAAATACCTGCTGTTCTGTCTAGTGTGCTCACTACTCAAAAGTGCTGGCTTTCCATAGTTGAATGAGTTGTCTCCCATGTCCATTACTAATTTGTTATTTTAAGTTTATTTGCTGTTATTTCATATTTTCACTGCATTGTCAGAAATTCAGCTCCTAGCCATTTTTACTCTAGTGTTTGCTATTTCTGATGCATGTGTTTATTGGATTGGATTTCATTTTGTTTCCTGAGATCTGAACTCTTCCTCTATTCTGTTTGGTTTTATTTTTGTATTGCCTTTGAATATTTTCTAAGTTTGACTGCTTGCATATTCCAAAAATTAAAACAGCTAAAACTTAAAAATTATTTTTTACTCCATGTCATGAAGCAATTATGCTGAATTTCCCCCTCTTCCTGGAATTAGGTTTCTTTTTCCCCTAGGATGGACTCACTGGTTTGTCTTACTTCCTTTCTTGCCAAAAAAATATTTTCCCTGTAACCATGACATTTCTTTTCATCCTGCTCTTTCTACTTGGTCTAATAGGGCTTGATTGACATTTCAATGTTCTTCCCATTGTATCTGAGACATTTTCCTATGAGAACTATGACTTTTTTAAATCCTGAAAGAATGCCAAGGATGGTGTTGGGGGAGTTCAGGTGAGGCAAAGTGCGGCTTTTGTTTTAAAATGTTCCCCTTTGAGAGCTCGCTCAGGCATTTTTCAGATTTGGTTAAAGCCCTAGCCCAGCAGATGGTGCCTCCTTCTCAACACCTCAGGCTTCACTTGCCCTGCATGCAGCTCAGGGCGTTTGCTTCGGTGCGGGGAGCCAGCCCAAGGGTACGCTCTCTGATGCCCGTGCTTCCTGCCAGCGAGCTCACAGCTGTGTGATCCGAAAGGGAAAAACCCAACTGTTTCTCTGTCAGTGTGAGGACTAGGGGGAATGCTGAAAATGTTGTTGACCCCACCTGTTTCTAGAAGTGACATTACCCAGAGCTTGCCTTGCATCTCATTCAAGAACTTCCTGTTCTTTCCTTGGTCATAGATAGACCAATGTAAAGTAGAAATAAGTAAAGGATGGATGGATGGGTGGATGGAGGATAGATTTCACTGAGGCACCGGGGACTTTTGTAGCTTTCATTTTTCACATATGGGTAGAGGAATTCTAAGGGTAAGTTTGTCACTCCATGCTCATCTAGAATGTATGTTGCCTTCTTTGTAACACCCACTTGTTGTTGAAACTAAGTTCTTGAAACAGCAGGCTTCAATGGTTGCTTAGAAAACCACAGAGCC